ACATGGCTAGAAATTTAGGCCTCCAGCAAACAGTCATATGGAGTGAGTCTCCTAGGGGGGAGACAAGTGTGGCTCTTGCCAACAATTTGACTGCAAATTCATGAGGGATGCTGAGCTGGAACTAACCAGCTATGCAGCTCTCACATTTTTCACCTTAATCTTTGCCTGGAAGCCATGTTTGTCTAATGGAGTGAATCTCCATAAGAGTCTCAAGAGGCCACAGAGTGTGTCACAGAATAAGTTTGGCAGAGACACCACCAGCATGGTCTGCAAATGACAGAGACAATACAAAAAGAAAAGAGAGGCCTTTGGACCCCAAAATTCTCCTAGCAAGATGTAGGCTGAGAAAATCATACAGCTGCAAACAGAGGCTGCCTTTTGTGGAAAGGAAGGATGATTCAGAAGGTAGTACCAAAGGCCTCGCAGGTGGAGCTGTGGAGAATACACAAATGGTCAACAGGCACAGGAGATGCATCTTGGGGAAATGTGTTAGGAAAATCCAAATCAAAACCACAACGAGATGCCGCTTCACATCTACTAAGATGGCAAGAATCAAAAAGATGGACAATAAAAGTGTTGGCCAGGCTGTGGAGAGAGTGGAACCCTCACACGTTACTGGTGGGAAAGTAAAGTCATACAGCTGCTTTGAGAAACATTCTGGAAGTTCCTCAAGAAGTTTAACAGAGAGTTACCATGTGACCCAGTGATTCCACTCCTAGTTATAAACCCTGGAGAGCTGAAAACATATGTATGAAAACTTGGACAGAAATCTTCGTAACAGGAGCGCCTGGGTGGCTCAGTCATTAAGCGTCTGCCTTTGGCTCAGGTCATGGTCCCAGGGTCCTGGGATCGAGCCCCACGTCGGGCTCCCTGCTCAGCAGGAAGCCTGCTTCTCCCTGTCCCTCTGCTTGCTCCCCCCACTTGTGCTCTCTCTCTCTCTCTGGCAAATAAATAAATGAAAATCTTAAAAAAAAAGAAATCTCCATAACAGCATTATTCATAATAGCCCAAAGGTGGAAGCAACCCAAATGTCCATGCACTTAACAAATGGATTGTTAAAATATGGCATATCCATACAATGAGATATTATTCAGCCATAAAATGGAATGAAGTACCAATACATTTTACAACATGAATGAACCTTGAAAATATGATGCTAAGAAAAGAAGCCAGACACAAAAAGCTGTATTTGTATGATTCCATTTATATGAAATGTCCAGAACAAGCAAATGCATAGAAACAGAAAGTAGACTAGTAGTGTTCAAGGACTGAAGGGAATGAGGAATGGAGAATAATTAGAGCAAGTGAAGTGTTCTGGAATTGGGTAGTGGTGATGGTTGTGCATTGTGAATATACTAAAATCACTGAATTATGTACTTTAAAATGATAAGTTTTATGGCATGTGTGTTATATCAAAAACAAACAAACAACAAGAACAACCATGGAGACTTACACCTGGACAGAAATAGGACTGAGTCTTAATCAAGGAGATTTCAACATTTTCCCAGCTGGATTTCAAAACTGCTATGGACCAGTGACTCCTGTGTCCCTCTCATTCCTCCCCCACCCCAGCTGTCGTTATTGAATTACAATTAACATACAGTGTTCTATCAGTTTAAAGTGTACAACATAATGATTCAACAATTCTATGCATTGCTCAATGTTCATTATACATCATTGTCGCCCTTTCTAAGCAGTAGCGTCTGTAATGATTATCCCTTGACTGTCCTGCCATTGTTTTCTGGATATGTGGGGGATGGTCACGTGTCTCTGTAGTTCACAGGTATTCAGATTGAGAGCAACTGTATTTAAAGCATTACATCCAAAGAGCCTCATCTGCACCTGGACCTAATTTAGGTGGTGTATTACTTTGCTAAGGCTGCCATAACAAAGTACCATAGACTAGGCGGTTTAAACAACAGAAATTTATTTTCTCACATTTCTAGAGGCTAGAAGTCCAAGATCAAGTGTAATAGGTTTGGTTTCTTTTGAAACCTCTCTTACCTCGCTTGCAGATGAGCATCTTCTCTCATGGTTTTCCTGTGTGCATGCACATACCTGGTGTCTCTTTGTGTTCCTAAACTTTTCTCATAAGGACACCACTCAGGTTAGACAAAGGCCCATCACCCATCTTAACGTAATCACCTCTTAAAGACCCTATCTCCAAATAGTTACATTCTGGGGTACTAAGGGTTAGGTCCTCAACATATCAATTTGTGGGGGAGATAAAATTCAGCGCATAGCAGATGGCAAGTGTATCATAAATTCTTAAAACTTCATATTTGCCTGATGCCTCAGCATCCCCACAACGAGGCTGTGAGCGCTTCACCAGGTGAGCAGGTGCACCAGTGTGATGAGGCTGGTTCCTGCCACAAGTTCTCCTTCTTGCCCTCCCCTGTAAAATTCAAATGCACTAATGAAATTCCCTCCTATGTTTTGTTTGTTTGTTTGGTTGGTTGGTTAAAGATTTTTCTTTATTCATTTGACAGAGAGAGACACAGCGAGAGAGGGAACACAAGCAGGGGGAGTGGGAAAGGGAGAAGCAGGCTTCCTGCCGAGGAGGGAGCCCCACTCGGGGCTCAATCCCAGGACCCTGGGATCATGACCTGAGCCGAAGGCAGATGCTCAACGACTGAGCCACCCAGGCGCCCCGAAATTTCCTCATACGTTTGCTTGTGTGCCCCACCCTGACCCCAGTAAAGGCACTTGGCCATGGGTCCTCACTCTCTCAGCTCCCCGTCTGCAGGGTTGATCTTGCTCTCTGGGCACTCCTCCTATGTGGCCTCCATGTGGAATATCATGCCTCCCTCTTCTAGGACTTGTGGATATAATGAATCCTCCACTTTTGTATACCTCTCTGAGTGCAATTTCCACAGCTTTATTGGAATAACCCTTAAAGACCCACGAGGACTTAGTTCCTCACAACACAGTAGAATTTTGAACTTTTAGCTGATTGATGCTCTACTGGGATGAGGATTTTCAGGGCCTTGAGAGAGGTGTATATTGTATGTATGAAGAATGTAAATAATTTGTGACCAGAAGATAGAATGTGGTGATTTTAAAATAAATCCACAGGGCGCCTGGGTGGCTCAGTTGGTTAAGCAACTGCCTTCAGCTCAGGTCATGATCCTGGACTCCCAGGATCGAGTGCATTGGGCTCCCTGCTCAGCGGGGAGTCTGCTTCTCCCTCTGACCCTCCTCCCTCTCATGTTCTCTCTCTCCTTCTCTCTTTCAAAAAAAAAAAAACTTTAAAAAAATTTTAAAAATAAAATATATCCACAGATTCTTGATATTCTTCCCCTCAAGAAGTGAAACTTAATTCCCCTCCTGCCTAGCCCCTGTAGACATTTGAGTTTATGACTTATTCCAAATTACAAAATCCCTTTCTCCAATTACATGTATATATATAGTAGAGGTCATGACATCCCTCTGTTTGATGTCCCTTCCCCAAGGATGATTAATTCAATAGGTTCTTCAATAGATCCTTGCTACCAGGGGGAAGGAGTCCAAGGGGGACCATGAGCAGGGATTTGTGGAATGCCTGTTCTGCCCAAATTTCAAGCCTATGTATTCGATTCTTTGCTCAGAATGTCTGCTTGGAACTAAGTTAGGAATCCCACTTCTGCTGGTCAGGTATGATAAAGATAAGAATCTTAAAAGAGCCTCAAAACCAAATAGAAATCAGTTATATATATTAGATTGAACCATATGAAATCACCAGCATTTAACTGCTAAAACAGCAGTATCGTATGTTTCAACCTAATAATATATATGGTTTTAACATATCCAATCCGCTCATAATTTGTCCCTTCCCTCCTCTAGCTGGCTGGCATGATGGCTCCATCTGCAGAGATATGACAAAGATCAGTCACAGCTGCTCTCTTGGGCGGCCAGCCTTTCTGTGCAGGATGTCTGAATCCCGATAGTCATTGCCGGCGCTGCCCAAGGCAGGCGCTGCACGTGTTCATGAGACTCAGGTTATAACCCAAAGGTGCAATCTGTCTCTTGAGCTTAGGGCCCGACTCTGAGGTTCTCCTCCTTGTCACGTTTTCTTCCCGCTGTTACGGGATGGAGAACATGGGAGGCTTGGGTGGAGAGCGATAGCAACCAGGGAGTTGAGGTGGTGGTGGTGGAGGTGAAGATGGTGGTGGAGGTGTGATGGAGGTGAAGGTGTGATGGAGGTGAAGGTGTGATGGAGGTGGAGGTGGTGCTGGGGGTACCCAGGCACAGGGCTCTAGGACTTCTCAGTCACCTGCTCTGGACACAGAGAGTGGGACTGCTGCCCAATGCCCACAGTACAGCCCCACCCCAGGTAACCCGCCTCTTACCTTGGGCCTGTGTGCTCTTGGACTGTTCACTCTGAATAAACCAACTCGCTCCTAAGTGATCTCTCTCCCCTGGTCACTTCCCTTTACCTACTAACGAATGTTGAGATCATAACACACATGGGCACACCTACTACCCTCTGGTTGCACCTGCCATACCTACCTGGTCTTCAGAGACTGCCCTTCTTTAGCTGGGTTGGGACTATCATGTGCTTCTTTGAAGGTACCCCCTGGCTCTGGAAAATGGTCCTTAGTTTCTCCCAAAACATATCTTCCTGGGTACTTTTCCTCTTCCTTTCTTTGGGGGTGTGGTAAGGGTTTGGCGGGTGGTGGGTGAACAAAACTCCCGTGTGCTACGGGAGAGATTGGGCACTTCTGGGAACCAAAGGGTGCCAAAAGGCTCCTGAGGAGGAACAACTGGGAAACAAAGTTGTTCTTTCTCCCTCCTTCTCCTCCTTCAAGTTGTTGTCTTGTCTCAACAACGGCCAGACATGATAAACAAGAGACCATTTATTCCACATCGCTCCAACAATAAGCAAGCAGGAACAAGGAGGAAAAGTAATATTCTCCCTCTCTAACTCCTTGCAGTGATGAAGGCCAACCACCCCCCCCCCCAAGGTTGTGAGAAAGGATGAGGACAGGGATGCAGATGAATGGGCAGGATTTCCGACAAGGTTACGAAGATGCCTTCTTTTGCTCAGGATCCGGGACTTCCCTCTGGGTGATAGAGGCATGTGAGACAACCGGCTTCTTCAGCAAGTTTTGTAGAGGGCTGGAGCAGTTGCTGCAGAACTTAGTGCCACAGGGACGGTTCATAATCACCATCCAGAAGTGTTGGTGGTTGAAGTAACAGAGGGCTGCTGGGAAAGCACAAAGGGATGGGGGAGAGGAAATTTGGAGAACCGGAAGAAAGTGGCCAGCGAGATGAGGCCAAAGGGAAGATAATTCCCTAAGAACTTGTCCTTGGGGGTTACCAGCCTCCCTCCCTGCACACTTCCTCTGCCCCGAGCCACCCATGTCCCCTCCTGCCCGGGGCCCTCAGGCCACTCACCACAGGTGACATAGAGGACAAACACCAGCCAGCCTATGAAATAGCTCCAGCCGATGGGGACTGATAAATTCTTCTTCAACTCAAAGATCCAGAGGTTAATAGGAAACAACATCAGGGTGAAGAAAATAAGGATAACTAGGAGACAGGGACGGGAGAGATCTTATTCTTACCTGAGGACCCCACGGAGATTCTCCCTCACCTTCTGGGATACAACCACAAACCACGATCAACCCCTCCAACCCCACCTCTCCTGGAACGAGGAAATGGCGGGGCTCAGTTCTCAAGGACCACCAGTTTTGTTCAGCCACCACCCACCAGACCCCTACCCCACCCCCAAAGAAAGGAAGAGGGAAAAGTACCCAAGAAGATGTGTTTTGGGAGAAACTAAGGACCACTTTCCAGAGCCAGGGGGTACCTTCAAAGAAGCTCATGATAGTCCCAACCCAGCTAAAGAAGGGCAGTCTCTGAAGACCAGGTAGGTACGGCAGGTGCAACCAGACGGTGAAGATAAGGCCCAGCACCAGCGCCAGGCAGAAAGTTATCATGGCCACCCCGAAGATTGGGTGGTTTGTCCACAGCTTAAAACTATCTGGAGAAAATGAGAAAACGGGACGAACTTAGGATTCACAAAGGAGAAAAAGTATATAATAGAATGACATGAGAAAAGGTTAACTAAAGAAATGTGCATTTTCAAAAAAGATTTATTTATTTATTTGAGAGAGAGAGTGAGAACTTGCAGGGGGAGGGGCAGAGGGACAGAGAGAGAAACTCCAGCAGACTCCTCACTGAGCACGGGGTGGGGGCCCAACGCAGGGCTCGATCTCACGACCCTGAGATCAGGACGTGAGCCGAAATCAAGAGTCAGACGCTTAACCGACTGAGCCACCCAAGTGCCCCAGAAATGCACATGTGAGATTACAATGAAGTATCACTTTCACTCATTAAATAAGCAAGGATTATTGATATGGAGATTGTTTGATAATCCCAACCATACAAAAATGAAAAACAGAGGACTTGAAGTGTGTGTCTCAAAAGAAGAAATACAAAAGTCCCATATACACATGAAGCTCAATACGAAGAATTGCCAAGTAAATGTGATTTGTTAACCTATCAAATCAGCAAAGATCAAGACAAAATTGATGACACCTGGTATAGGAAAGGATTTAGAGAGAAGAGGTGCTCTCATACGCTACCACAGGTCAGCATTTCCGATGAGTGACCTGGCACAAAATATCAGAAATAATGTAAAAGGTTAAGACCCTTTGACTTGGCAATGCTTCTTGGAATTTATGGTAAGGAAATAATCCAAGAGCAGCACTAAATCTGTGTCCAGGGATCTTCTCTGCACAGATACTTATATGTCCAAGGAGAGATTTGTTAAATGTATTGTACCCATTCGTTGGATTATTATGCATTCATTAAAAAATGATATGGGAGGGGGACGCCTGGGTGGCTCAGTCATTAAGCGTCTGCCTTCGGCTCAGGTCATGATCCCAGGGTCCTGGGATCGAGCCCCACATCGGGCTCCTTGCTCAGCAGGAGAGTCTGCTTCTCCCTCTCCCACTCCCCCTGCTTGTGTTCCCTCTCTCGCTGTCTCTCTGTCAAATAAATAAAATATTTTTTAAAAAATGATACGGGGGCGCCTGGGTGGCTCAGTTGGTTAAGCGACTGCCTTCGGCTCAGGTCATGATCCTGGAGTCCTGGGATCGAGTCCCACATCAGGCTCCCTGCTCAGCGAGGAGTCTGCTTCTCCCTCTGACCCTCCCCCCTCTCGTGTGCTCTCTCTCTCACTCTCTCAAATAAATGAATAAATAAAATCTTTAAAAAAAATGATACGGGGGCACCTGGGGGGCACAGTCGATTAAGCGTCCGACTCTTGGTTTTGGCTCAGGTCATGATCTCGGGGTTCTGAGATTGAGCCCCATGTTGGGCTCCGCACTCAGCAGGGAGTCTACTTGAGATTCTTTCTCCCTCTCCCTCTGCCCCGCCCCCCGACTCTCTCTCTCTCTCACTCTCTCTCTTAAATAAATAAATAAATCTTTTTTATTTATTTGAGAGAGAGAGACAGCGAGAGAGGGAACACAAGCAGGGGGAGTGCGAGAGGGAGAAGCAGAGTCCCCGCTGAACAGGGAGCCCCATGTGGGGCTCGATCCCAGGACCCCGGGATCATTACCTGAGCCAAAGGCAGATGCTTAACAACTGAGCCACCAGGCACCCCTAAATAAATCTTTTTTAAAAATGATATGATAGATGTTTGTCTCCAAACAGAAGATGTCTCGAAAGAAACGAGGAACCAGGAGTGGGGATTAGAGGCCAGCGGTGGGGGGGCTCCCTTCGCTGTGTCATCTTTTTTTTTTTTTTTTTTTGACAAAGAGAGACACAGGGAGAGAGGGAACACAAGTAGGGGGAGTGGGAGAGGGAGAGGCAGGCTTCCCACAGAGCCTGAGATCGTGATCTGAGCCAAAGGCAGACGCTTAACGACTGAGCCACCCAGGCGCCCCCTGTGTCATCTTTCATTTTGCTTCCATTTCCACTCCATTCACATACTACCTAATCAAATAAATCTTAAATACTCGTGATGCTATAGAAATATTAATGACAGGAATAAATACCTAGAACTGCAAAGGGGAGTTTGCAACCCAGAGCATGGAGAATTGCGGTTTTGAAAATATAAATATATACATTTATCAAGATACAAATAAATATATGTTTATTTGTATATGTGTATTTGTATTTATAGATATCTCATACACACACATTCATACACAAGAGACTGGAAGTAAATTCACTGGCAATGCCAACTGTGATTATATCTATATGAGCAAATTTTAGGTCAGTTTTATTTTCTTTCTTAAACGTTCTGCATTTCCCACAATAACTAACTGTGCAACTAACTTTTTCTTATCAGAAAAAAATTATCTATTTATATATTTAGAATTAACAGTCATTGCCAACAAAGATACAATAAAACCAGCCTTCTTGTGCATTGTTAGTGGAAAGGTAAATTGCTATCACACTTTTTGAAAGCAACATGGAACATTTTATGAAGAACCTTAAAATATTTAACTCTTCCATCCGGTAAAGCCACTTTGGGAAATCGATACCAAAGAATTAACACTAAACACAGAAAAAAAAAAAAAAGTCCTTAACAAATTTTGTTGCTCCTTTTTTTTTGCAAATATGACATTGAAAAATAAATTTTACCAAGAATAGAAAAATAAAATTCAAGTAAAAGATGACAATCTATTTAGTTGATATATATGTCTATTAACTTATAATAGGGAAACATTTACTGCATCTCATAAAAATAAATTTCCGTACAGATTTTTAAATTATTTTTTTAAAAGATTTTATTTATTTATTTATTTGAGAGAGTGAGCAAGAGAGAGAACATGAGTGGGGAGAGGAGCAGAGGGAGAGGGAGAAGCAGGCTCCCCGCTGAGCAGCGAGCCCAACGTGGGGCTCGTGGGGCTCGATCCCAGGACCCTGGGAACATGACCCGAGCCGAAGGCAAACCCTTAACCGGCTGAGCCACCCAGGCACCCCTAAATTATTTTTAAATAATCTCTACAACCAGCATGGGGCTCAAACTCACAACCCCGAGATCAAGAGTCACACCCTCTGCGGACTAAGCCAGCCTGGCACCCCAAAGATAAATTTTTAAACAACATAAATTGAATACTTAAAATAATGTAAGATATAAGGTTATTTATGAAGAATGAGTACAGCTGTGTAAAAACCGTTCAAAACTTGTTCAATTTTTTTTTTTTTTAAAAAAAGCCTAGCAGAAACTTGAGTGCTTGGGGCTGGTCTTTGAGGAGCTCGGTTAGAGCAAGGCAGGTGCCTCCGTGAGTCTTGGAACCAGACACGCCCGAATTAGAATTCTAAACCTGCTCTCTTTGTAGGTGAAAAACAGTCAAATATTGACCCTCAGCCAGGTACTTTATCTGAGTCTCGGTGTTCTCATCCGTACAGGAAGGATGATCATCCCTATTCCTTAGGGTTGGTTGAGGATCTATCGAGCAAATGGAATAAGTATGCAATAAATGGTAGCTTTTTGTTTCCCCAAATTTATTGCGAGAAAGATGCATTTCTCTCATAATGGAAGAAACTAAGAGCCGCGTAACTTTTATTTTTATTATTATCTTTTTACTGTTAACGAGAGTGAAGTCACGGAACGGGGATCACGGAGATAGAAAGTTCTGGTTTCGCACAAGAGCTGAGCAAGGAGGCCCGAAGCTGGGAGGTGCGGGAGAGCATGGAGTACTGAGTTCAGGAACTGGCCGTGAAGGGCCACGAGAGCCTGGGAAAGAAGGAACGAGGAAACCAGACGTGGAAACCCAGAGCTGGCCCAGAAGAGCAAGGCCTGAGGCAGAAGGGAGGAGAAGGGGCTGGGACCAGGGCTGGGGAGGGAGAGCGACCAGGGGGCTCCTCCCGAAACTGGAAGCTCAGGGTACACAAGGCCAGAGGAAGACAATCCCCACCTCACTGGGGCTCTTCTCCCCATAGAACAGGGGCAGTTGTGTGATTAAGGAGTGATTCACCAGCACTGAGAGTCCACGCCCCTCACAGCCTTGTTACAGCCACAGACCAGGCTCTGAGTCTTCGCAGAAGCAATGATCTGAGTCAGGCAAAGCGGTTTGGACAGAATGGATGGGGGCAGGAAGACCCGTCCTCGGTGGTCTCCTCCAGTGAAGCCCTCTTGCGGGCCAGATCACTAGGGATGACCCGAAGGAGGGGACAAGGGCACGGGGTGACCCGGAGTGACCAAGGCAGACTGGAGCCCTGGGGTGCGGTGGGGGCGGGGAGGGTCTCACCATTCCAATTTTCTGAGTTGGAACAGCTCTTGGATTTGCAGATCCCCAGGGGCCCCATGGACATGACGTGAGTGGCCGTGTAGATTCTGGTGCTGACGTTGGTGGGCCAGCGCTGGTAGAAGCGGCTTTGAGAGGGGCACAGCCATTTCTTGGAGAAGACCATGACCAGCATCAGGGCGAAGGCGACCAGGCTGAGCTCTGAGGCCAGGACCTGCGCTATGCAGCGGGAGCTGTGTGTAATTCTCCACCACAGGGGCAACACGGAGACCCTCCGGGGCTCTGAGCTGTAATCCCTGAGCCCCTGACTGCTACTTCTGGGCTCAGAGAGTGAGTTCTTTACCCGCTCTTCTTGAGCCAGACTTCCCTCTGCCCCATCCTGCTTCTCAGCATCCGACTTCCTTTCCAAGTGTCTGGTGCTCATCCCTTTCTCCTCCTGACCCCGGGAACTCATCCCTAAAGTCCCCTGCCCCCATCTTGAGCACCCCCTGTCTCCCCCTGCCCCCTCCACCCCATCTCCCCCTTCTCTTGCTGGGCTCAGTCGTCCCTCATCTTCTAAATATTTCTATCCAGCAGAGCACCTGGCGCCACAGGGCCTGGGGTCTGGGAAAGAACAACCCATCCAGTAGGACAGGGCCCCTAACCGCCACGGAATATTCCTGAGGGGTGGGGGTGGGGGTCATCAAGTGGGGGAGGGGCCCACCGTGGCAGCCCCACTCCTAAGAGCTGTGGTTTCTGAGGGTGTCCCCTTCTCTTCCTAAGTCCTCTCCCCTGACCTTACCCCCAAATGCTGACAGACGGAGCAGGAGGGAGGAGATGCTTGTCCTCAGGGAAACAGCCTCCCTCCGTTGTTCTTTGGAAATGTCTTCTTCTCACGGCTTCCCCTACCCCTTCCCCTCCCTCCCACCTCCACTCACTTCTGGTGGACAGTTGCCATTCCCTTCCCTCTTCTCTGTACCTTCTTCCCTTCTTTTTCCCCTCAGCACCGGAAGGGGAAGCACATAGGATGAGGAGCGGGTGGGGGGGGGTCACCCAACCCGAAATCTTTCTTTTTTTTAAGATTTTATTTTTTTGAGTAATCTCTACACCCGACGGACGTGGGGCTTGAACCCACAGTGCCGAGATCAAGAGTCATGTGCTCTACCGACTGAGCCAGCCGGGCGCCCCACAAGCTGAAGGTTGTTGTTTTTTCTAACCTCCCTTTTAAGTTACAGGAAAATAGATCTGAGTCACCTGGGGCAGCCTGATCGTAGTGGCTTCTGGGAGAAGAGAGACCCTGGGCATTCTCCCAAGGAAAAAGCCTTTCATATTTGGGATGTGAGTTTGAATCCCACCAGAGTTGGTTTACTCTGTGG